AGAGGATGGTCACTACAATCACCATGTTGCCCCCAATAGTTGCAATGTAGACCAACAAAAACACAATGAATATTATTTTCTGGACAGTAGGATTCTGTGAAAGTCCCAGAAAGACAAACTCAGTTATGAAACTTTGATTCTGCATGCTTTCTGAGAAATAAGTTTTCTAATAAATGGTATGTCTACTCTAAGATAAGCTATTCTGCTAATCTACAATTATGATAAAGAAATATTTTATTCATACCAGTTTATGATTTTATAGTTATCAATAGTTAGATGCACCCTGATGCAAAATTGTCTTTAGTGGTTTTTTTGTTTTTTTTTTTTTTGTCACTGAGAGCACAAGTTACGTCATTTACTGAGGCAGGAGTTTGGGGATCCAGCCAACTTAAGGTAGAGATGAATCTTAGAGGACTTAACTTACTAGAATGTCTAAAAAGGGGAAAGGAAGCATCCACATGTCATTGAGATGATTCGTAGTTTCATCTTGAGCGCCAGCTTTGGTCATTTACTTGTGACTTCCTGAAGTGACTTGTTCAGAAGCATTCTGAAGCTCATCCATGTAATGAGGAAATAAGGACTCGAATTGTAGTAGTCAGTTGGCCATTGTCATGGAAGTGGGCTGAGATGAATAGCAAGCCATCTCTGGCCTGGAGACTATTACATCTATAAGTAGAAGATATAATATGGATTTTCGTGGATACTCCTCAAAAGTTTCTTTAAATTTTTTTTAATGATTTCTCTTATTTTTCATAAAAAAACAAGGATCTATGGAAAAGCACCAGGCTACAGATGTAAATGTGCATAAAAGTTTGTTTGTAAATTCATCATTTAAAAATTAGAGGCGAATTTAACTGAGACAATAATGCCTACTTCTGATTGTTGACATAAGACTAATTGAAATAAGGCAAGAAATCATTTACCATAATTATTTCCCATATTATTTACAGTAATGCTACACCATAGGGGAAAGAATTTCCATGTGGAATCTGCCTTTGGTCAGCTCACCGCAGGGCAAAGCAGGAAGAGAATGAAGTGAAAGCAGCGAGAACCATGGCTCCAGGCTCTTCCACTGTATGCACCAGGTTACTTAAAAGTCCATGAGCTGAAAACTCTTAGGCCTATGGATTAATAAGCCCGTCTGTCAATCGACTTCTTGGGAGAATCAGATAAAGACTTGGATGTAAAAACATGGATATTCAGGAGCACTGGGGAAGATGAGGTGTGGGGAGAGTGACCTGCCCCAGCCCCTGACCCAGAGCACAGATAGCATCAGTTTACTCCAAGTTCTGCCTCATCATATCCCAGGCTTCTCTTTTACTCTACTTCTCATGGGTATAAAACACAGAATATTTCCTTTGAGTAGTCATAATGAAATACTTGTTTTTAAGTGTCTGACACTTTTAAAGGTCCTTGGTAGACCCTGAATATTTGAAAATTTGATAGACCTTAAATTACTGTGGCCTCAGACCCACATGTATCTACTCCTGTTTCATGTGGCCTCATTGAACAACAACAACAAAAAAGCCAAGAAGGCTGGTGGTAGGAAGGAAGACAAGGTCCTGTGTGAATCTAATAACACTTCTTATGTCTCCACTTTCTTTATTTGAGGTGCTCTAAAAGTAATACTATTTTAGAATTGAAATAATTAACATATGCATAAAATCTAAATAAACCAACTTATTCATTAGTCAAAATAAAAAAAACCCCTAAAATTGGAAAATAATGTGCTCATGGCTCATGATTTCAAGTCTTCTAAAAGCAATTGTCTTAAATTCAATGAATTATTTTAGATAGATTAGAGCACAACAATCACAGCAGTAGAAAAATCACTAAAATATATATAATGGTATTTAGTTAAGAGTAATGTATCATATTTCATACATTATTTTGTATCATTATAAAAAAATTAATGTATCCATGTTTATTTCATCATCTTGACAGATGTAACTATGAGAATATTAAGAGATACTGTGTGAGAGATATGCAGGGAATTTCTGTACTCTCTGAGTAAGTTTTCTCTTGATCTGAATTTATTCCAAATAAAAAATAAATTAAAAACTATTCATTTTCTGCTACCAAAATGCTAGCAATTTTAGTTTCAAATCTGGTTGTCAAGTGTCTTTGAACAAACCACCCTGTTTCTTTCCCCTCTACTATACAATAGCTATAGTACCAATTGTAGAGATGCTTGATATGCAGTAATCAAGTTCATGGACATTTTGAACAGTTTTAATAAGAATGCATCAAAAGGAAGATAGGAAATATCAATGTTGGCATTATTTTTTAGCAGTATCGACAAATGTAAAGAAGCTATAAACTGAATTAGCACAAAAATAAAATATGTATCTTAAAAATCATGCTGTAAGTAGTTACACCTAATACAATTGCAATGAAACTGGTTTGTTCTTGTAACCTTTTACAAAACATGTTGGTAAATACTTCTGGAATCATAATCTTATATGAGTAATCCAATCCTAAAAATAAATTAAAATTGAAATGACATGGAGAAGCTTTATTACACATTGATTTCATATGATGCTATGAATAAAGCAAAAATTAATAATATGAAGATTGAGAAGGTAAGCATTTTGCAGTATGTTGTGTGTGTGTGTGTGTGTGTGTGTGTGTGTGTGTGTGTGTGTAGGGGGGGTATTGGGGACTGTACCAAGGGGCACTTCACCACTGAGCCAGATCCCCTGTCTTGTTTTTTTTTTTTTTTGTTTGTTTGTTTGATTGTTTTGAGACAGGGTCTTGCTAAGTTGCTCAGGCTGGCCTTAAACTTGCAATTTTCCTGCCTCAGTCTCCTGAGTTTCTAGGATTCCAAGTGTGTGTGCCTTTGCACCTAGCAAAGAAGAAAATTTCTAATGACTTTTCCTATTTGCACAGATATTTTAAATATAGTTTTACAATCTGTAAGGGAAAATATAAAAATGATAGAGATTAATTTTACAATACAGATTGGTTACTATTAGAACATTTAAAATTGGACATAAATTTAAAACCACAGTACCAGATTCTTCATCTAAATAGTTCAGAAAGAGGATAAGAGGTTGGAAAAATCAATTTGTTTGTAAAGGTGAAACTAACATGCTAATATTTAAAAGCATCTTATATTAAAAGAAGAGTAAGCTACTGTAAACTTTATATTAACTGTTATACAATGGCTTTAGGCCTCCCCATCCTTTATGCATTTATTTTGTTATAAATTTTAAACTCACATTCTGTTACATTCTGTCATTTTTTCTCCTTGAATATTTCATGGCTTTTTTTTTTTTCTGAAAACCCATACCCTTGGATATCCTGGAGCTTCCTGAGATTGCTCAGGGGCTCCTGGCAGCTGAACTGTGGGCTCTGGGCCATCTCCTGGGGAGGTGACCTGGGGAAGTTTGCCTGCCTGTTATTCACTGCCCACATTGCTCACTGTTTCCTTCTCATTCATTTTAGTCAAAACTCATTCTACCATCCATCTCTCTGGAAAACAAAAAAACAAAAAACAAAAAACAGAATTTCTGTTTCAAGTTGAAGTACATATAACATTCAAACCTAAAAGGGAGATTAGTAGTAAGTCCATTATTATAAGTAGTGCTTTGTAACTCTACTCAACCAGTAAAGTTCAGATGCATTTACATGTGTATATGTGAGTGTATAAGTCACATTTACATCTTTAGTCTCAATAAATGATTTATAACTAAATATTATTACAAAATAGAAGAATAATTTAAAATCCTATTTGTGATTAGCCAACCTGAAAGTTCATTCAATTTACTATATATATATATATATATATATATATATATA